GCTATCAAAATCACTATTTCAATGTCAATAATGAGTTGTCATTCAGGAAAAAATTTGAAAAACAAAAGATGCCTTAAACTTTTTTTGGGCCACTTTAGATACACAGATGGTCCCAATAGAAAATATGAAACACAGTACTGTCCGACTGTGCACTTGGAATGTACATACTCATGTCAGTACTGCGGTATACTATTCACGAGACTCTTTTCCCTATAATTTCAGAAAGTCTGAATTTGATAAGAGTGTACCGGGTACCACAATACTGAGTATTGAGAAGCCAAAGGTTATCAAGCCTACAGTTTCCTCACCAGTTTCTATCGAAAGATTCACGTTCTCTACGACAGCTAGTTATTCAGTAACCCATGTATACAATATTATCGTAATGGCTACACACGCGACGCCGTTTCAAAAAACATAAGTATATCATATAAGCGGTCAAACAAGTATCGCGAAAGCTATCGAACAGTCTATCTAGGCATGGGAGTGCCATGGAAACTTGATACGTCAGGAAAACGTCGAAGCGCGAATCTCGACGTGAGGGTGCCAAAAATGTGAAATCGGAGCAGAAAATTTTTTGGAACGTTCTACAAGATGGTAGCGTTTTCACAGCTCTTCTTTGAATTGAAATGGGGGGATAACACAAAAAAGATTTGCTAGTTTTCTTTGATTTGAAGATTGATTTGGAAAAAGCAGGAATTCCGTGGAAGAGATGTTTTCGTTGTAATTACGTGTTATGCGAAGATGACTTTCATACATACGGTAGCAGGGTATAACCGTTCATCCTTGTAAGATTAGTACATACATTCCCGGTACGCTAGTATGAAATTCATACTTTTGAGGTATGCCATTTTTCGGTACCTAGTTACATGGTAACGGTAACGGCTCAGCCCTCTACAAGAGACATATGAAATGCTATTTTGTGAAACACGATTGAAAATGAGTGTTGAAATTTAGAGTGAGAAAAGTGAGCCTTTCCCTGCCTCACAGACCATGACAAATATTTCGATATGTCTGTCATGATCTGTGACACTATAAGAAATTTTGATATGGTGACTTAAGTTCGTCAATCAATCGGGACAGACATCACAAGATATCTGCATAATATGGTTAAAGCTGCTCTGCCATGATTAAAATTTCTATTCCATATGAATTGAGCTGAAGTTTTTTTTTTTATTATTTTCTAGTTTCTTATTCCAGCTGCGGACACGACCTATTACTGCAAAATATTCAAAGCACCGTCATTTAAAGGAAAGCGTCATGTTATCGCGGTATGCATATAATAATGCTTCAACTAAAAAATGTTCATTTCAATTTTTAATTGACATTAGCAAAAATTTGTAATCGACGACATAAATGTGGATATTGTTCATCATATGGTAGTTTATGAATGTGATCCATCAACAGTATTTCCAGATGATAACAATTTGCCGAACAATGAATGCGATTATGCTAATGCTCGCAATGACGGTTCCGAATTGTGTAGAACAAACATTGCAACAGGTAAATATAATGTTCTGCAACTTATATATCATCAAAATTCTGAATAACATTTTTGTTTTACATAAAAGTTTGGGCAATTGGTGGAGACTTGGTAAGTTAAAAGGTTTGTCTAGAATTTTCTCAATAGAATATCTGGACTTTGTCTGCAGATTGAAGAACTTCCGGAAGAAGGTGGTTATCCAGTTGGAAGCGATTTCGATATCAAGTACTATCTATTAGAAATGCATTATAATAATCCTCGTTTGATTTCAGGTATGATAAAAATAACTTCGAAAAAATTTTCAAAAGCCAAAATTTAATATGTGAATTTGCTTATATTACCAGCGTTTTAATACACGTATAATTAGATAGAAAGGTTAATTGTTTTTAAAAAAATACTACTTTCAATTTATATGAACATGAATCTTTACTAGCACGATACCAGAAATGATGTGATCCAAAAAACAAACTGATCGATGACATTTTCATAAAAATTATTTTAGGTCGTCGTGACAGTTCTGGAGTACGATTCTATGTTTCGCCAACATTACGACAATATGATCTCGGTTATTTGACATTCGGAACCACAGCAAATGCACTAGCCATAGCTATTCCACCAAATACTACTCGTTTCAATGTTGATTCATATTGTCCTGCGCAAGCAACAAAAGTATGAATTTTTCAAATTCATATTGATATATTTTTGTATTAACAACTTTTATGAATTATCTTTCTACATTAAGAACTTTCCGAAAGATGGCATCACTGTAATAACAGCATATGCACATGCTCATAACCAAGGTAGAATGTCTTCTGAGTTTTTGTGTGAAGTTTTGAAAATTATCCTTTAGGACGTAGTGTATGGACTAAATTGATTCGAAACGGTACAGCTATTCAATACTTGTTTAATACTGAATCATTCGATTTTAATTATCAATTCGAACATAAACTACCAAAAAGAATTCAGTTATATCCCGTATGATATAGAAGTTCTTTACTTAGATACATAAAACTTGAAAGGTTTTTTTTCTAACTATTTGAAAAGGGCGATGAGTTTGCTACACGTTGTGTCTATTCCACAGAAAATAAAAGTGTTATTACATTGGTAAGTAGAAAACAAATTCATTATGAAACAGGATTATACTATGTCAATTCTTTATTTGAAAGGGTGGCGAACCTTCGACAAGCGAAATGTGCACGCAAATATTTATGTATTATCCAAGGATGAATAATATTTACAGTTGTTTATCTGCAATAAGTAATAAGTCGTGGTCATTAATGTACAATGGATCGTAAGTTTTTATGTATATTAACAGAAATTTTTTTTAAAAATAGTGCTACTTGAATTATGAACTTAATCTACTATAAATCTAAAATTTGGTGACATTTGACTTTATCGTTTTACATGTACATTTTCTGTTTTTAGAATGAATGGTACGGAAACTTATGGTTCGGATGATCACAAAAATTTTGTTCAATGGCTCTTAAATCTTAAATGGTCGCCTAGTTTCATCGAAAAATGGAGAGAATTTTTTAGTACGGCAGAACGAAAAACAACAAGTGGCGTAGCTGGCAATCGGCAAGCAATGATACATTTTATTCCCAAATACAAAGATTTGCCATCGGTCGAATGCAACAATAGTAATAGCAAAAATGATGCTGTATCATTCAATCAGATGAATATCATCTTAATTTTCGTTTACATGCTTGTTTACTATTCTTTCCTTTAAATTCATGATATATCTGTTGTTTTTATTTAAACAATAATACATAAAAAGAGAACTGTGTGTTTTCAGCTTAAAATTTGTTCGTCAAAACACTGATTATGTTGAGAGTGTGGTTCAAAAAAACACTTACACTCACCTAGATTTGCACAGAAGCCGCTTTATTGTGCAGGTTTCGAGGGATGTTAAACTTTCCAATAATGAAAACTTTTCAGTTTTACCTAACATAAGCACAATAAGGGTGGGGTGTGGGTGTGAGCGTTCCTATTTTTCAGTGTCGCCCACACTCACACTCACCCACACCCGCACTATTATACAACTGGATGTTGGTGCTGATGTGAATATAAGTATTCTCGTGGAAGAAGAGAACATCAAAAGTCACACTCAGTGTACGACATGTATCGTGTTTTGCTTTGCAAAATGTCAACAATAAGGAAATCGCTTGAAAAATCAAAGTTAAACGACTCTATTTGTGTCGCTGAGCATGTGTAGTCAGTAAAGAAAGCATTTCTTTCTATTTTCTACTATATTCGATTTTCTGTTATCTTTCGGTGAAACGTTCGAAACAACATGATCGTTTCTCAAAAGAAAGAGCTGATTTGATGATACAAGTGATCTCATTTCTCATCATTAAATTTTTTTTCATACACCATGCACACATGTCTCGTGTATCTTGCATCTATCTTGTACGATAACTGCTATTTGTTTCTTCTCACAAATACTAGTATTTTATTGTGCTATAAAGATGGCGGTAGGACTGTTGTCCTTTACAGGTTTGATAATACACTATTGAAATCGTCAGAAAACGCTTCCTTTCTTGTATGAAGAGTACAATGCCACTCGAGTATTTCTTTTTCGAAATAGTAAGACGTAGTGTACAATTCAATAGTGGCAAAAAAGTGAAATTGAAATTTTTTTTAATCTCATTCAAGATGAATAAAAATTTTTTTTGTCCTATGATCAATACTATCATGATGTTATTATCGATGATTTCTTTCGTGTCAACTCTATGTAATAGATCAATCATCTTTAGAAACACAGTTTATTGAAATCTATAATGCATCATCTTATCGTCTGTATAATACTTTCGATAATTCGAGTGTACCCCATTTCTTTCTGCTAATAATTGATATACAAACCAAACTGATCGAACTTAATTTAACGTAAATTGAAAAACACGATTCTGGAGCGTTTTTTCACATAGCAGTGGCGAATAATGATGATAATATTCAGAGAAAGTTTAGAAGTAGCAAAAATTAATCAGACAACAGGTCTTATGAAAACTATTGGAATATATCCAGTTGGTACATTTAGTGTTGTTATGGCCAACGCATTAAAACGTCGATTGTATTATAATATTATTGATTCGACACTCTATAGTATCAATATTGATACAGGAGGACTAGATGTTAATATTGAAATACCAATAGATTATACAATTTATGCGATAAACAGCAAACGCCTGGTTTTTAGCTCAAATCATCATCATCACAGCAAAACAGGAAATTAAGTTTGATCGTATTGGTAAAGCCGAAACTCCGTTCGAAAAATATTTCTGGTCAACAACCTATGCAATCAATATAAATAAACATTTATGGATGACACTATGGAGCACAACAGATGAAAATATAAGTTATTTTGTCATATTCAGTATTGATAGTGGAGACATTTTGACTGTAACTTTAGTCACTCTCTTCGAGGTAGAGTTTATTGATACACGAATAAATGTTTTGAAAAATAAAGGTTTATTTTCGTTGAAATTCAAAAAAATGATGCTCTATTCAAATATATTAATAGTCCAGAAATGTGGTCAATTTCAAGAAAAAGGACTGACGAGGGAACATTACCAACTGATATTCTCCGTTTGAGCTCATAGAGTAGAGAAAAATCCCAAAAAGGCTTGTCCCATTGCTACTTCGTTCCAGAGAAACAAACATAATAAGTTCTTCTAAAAATGACATTACTATATTTTCTGTTAGGAAAATTTTATATCTCAATAAAGGAACATTTCCACGAGCTGATGTTTTTTCAAATTCATATTATAAATTATTTTAAAATAGTTTCATTGATATGTTTAATGCTTTAAAATGATTTTTTTTTCTATTATCTGTTTGTCTAATCATTTCAATAATAATATAATCGATTAATGATAATATTTAAACAATATTTTGTTATTGTTTTATTTGTCATTATCAACATTTGATTGAAAATATATCATGTATTCTAGTTAATGTTCTTGAATGAGTTATACCTTAGACTTGTATTATTAAAAGTATAAAGGTGTTTAATGCAACATAAATCTGAATATAAAAATTGATCAAATAAATCAAAAGCATGACAAAAAATAAACTAAAATAAAACTAATTCAATTGTCTGGATAAGAAAAACCATTCAAGTTAATTTGCTTTACATTGATGAATTAATATATATGATCAATAGAATAGATATTTGACGGTGGACAATTTTGTGTTGATTCTTCTCTAAGTAGTAAAATATAAAAAACAAGGGTGTGGATATGAATATAAAGGAGAGAACCACACTTATACCCAGACACCCACACCGCAAATTGAACAAAAATCAGTATTACTTTTTCGTAGTCTCTCATCAGATATACGTAATAATAGATTATGTGACTTTGTTTCATGTTGACTATTGAAATTGAATGAAAAAACTAAATATTTACTTTATCTCATCATATTAACTTAGAAACAAATTGATGAACTCTTTTTAATTGGCTATCAAGAGTGATTTTCATTAGAAAATTTGTCAAGACTATTATTTGATGTATTTCTCTGTTTAAAAAGAAACTTAAAATTGAACAAAATCAGCTGATCTAGTCTCAATTGTAAAATGTATTTATATATTAGGTTTATTATGATTGATTGATATTTATTATCATTTTAAGTAAAAAGATACTAAAACACAAAATGATTGTTTTTGAAAAAAAAAGAACTATGAAACATTTGTCATGTATTAAAAGTTTTAGAGAGCTACTTTTTTCGATGCACCATGTTTGCATACTTTCTTTCCGAAAATGACGACTTCATGTAACGCATAAAATTCAACAAAAGAATAACCCAAAAGGACAAATGGAGTTGTTATAAAATGAAATAAATTTCGTATAAGACAAATACATTCATTGACATTCAATAGTTTAGCAATGAATGCATCGATGAAGAATGCAACTGAAAATGTTAGCATTTGTAAACCCAATAAACCATACATGATATTCGAGATCACTACTGGAACATCTTTGATAAGTAAAGCTATTGACAAAGTTGCCGTTAGACCAAACAAACCACTAGTACACAATAAAACACCATAATAAATAAGAAAAACAATACCCCAAGAACATGCAGCTATTGCTGGCATACGTCTTGATTTGATAATGAAATAATGAAATACTTCGGCTGCTCCAATTGTCCAACGACGTGCTTGTCTTGTCCATTCGATGATTTCTGTTTCAATTGTTTCTCCTAATGTAGGTCCACTCACTACTGGCACAGGTATCATGGATATTCGCAATCGTTTTTGTGTTACGCCCATCCATCGAATGAGACATATGATATCATCCATTTGATAGGCAGGATGTACGAAATCTCCTTCTTTTGCTAAACGTAAGGAAAATGAGAAAATGCTCATTGTGTTAATATTGAACGGAATTAGTGCACCTAACATGAGCAAACTACGTAACAATCCTGTTACACGAGTAACAAACGATAGGCTATCCAATTTCCAATTATAAAATAAAGGTGCCTGATAGATTGTAGTTAATGCTGGTCGATTTTCTTTCAGATATTTGCTAGTTAATGCAGCAATATATTGGGGTGAAAATTTAGAATCTGCATCACAAGTTGTTACCAAAATATTATCCATTTCATCGTCAGTAATATTCATTTCTTTGACAGCCATACGCAGACCATAATTTGAATTTGAACATTTTCCTGGTATTTCATTGGGCAAACCAAAAGGATGAATTGTGAATATAATCTTTTCGAAGCCACAATTTTGAAATTTTTCTTGCAAAAATTGACATTTTTTTTCTTTATCGGGCGTTCGCTGTTCAAATGAAATAACCATTGTTATTCGATGAACTTCAGTTTGATCTGCTACTGTTTGAACACTTCTCGCAATCAAATCCACAGGTTCTTTGTAACAACTAATTGTCACAATATGACGAATGGGTATCTTCTCGTAACCAACATATTCTTTAGTGAAATCATGAGAACGATTTAGATACAAAATTAAAGAATTTTTCAGAGCCAATATAGCAATAACTATGGAACAAATAGTTCAAAAAAGAAGATATACAGGAGAACTATACACTTACTTAACCACATGAAAACGAATACACCTTGAATGCATGGTAATAATAAGTAGGCAAGTCTATTGGAAACAAAAGGTATCCAAAATGGAAGTGGTACAATCGACCAAACTAGAACATTGAACAAAAGATTCCAACGGAATCGTTGACTACCCGATTTCATTTCACGATGAGAATTTTCATTCGTTTCAACAATAGTATGAGATGGTATGGACGAGACACTAATAATATTATTTTTTGAATCTTCTGGTATTGATATGACATCACTGACTGTCAATGTCTCGAATAAACCACTATCATGTCCTGCTTCCTTTCCGAAATTATCAATTTTATGTTCAGCTTGTAGTTTGAATTGAGAAAGAAAATTCTTCTTCGACTGTTGATCATGCTCGAAAGGTATTCGGTGATATTGTTTGAGTAATGATAGCATTGTCATATTTGTTTCATTTTCTTCACTAATATAAGCATAATTTTGACGACCTTGTTCACTAAAGAATCGTTTTAGTACTTTTGGATTTGATGCCATCAATTGTATGAATATTGCTTCGAATGATAAAAAATTAAAAATTAAATTTTTTTGTTTCCTTTTTATATGAATATTTTCGTGCTAGTTTATGATATGTCACTTTCATGTTATATATTCAAATAAAATTCAGTTCCTTGTTGTTTTTGGTCTTCCCCAATATTTGACAAAGGAAAGAAATTAATATTACCAATGATTATATCATAGATTACTAAGACAAAACAAAAATAAATCCCAATTCATCTAAAAATAAAGGTTATACATACATCGAACGAAATATCACACGCTTTTATGTTAAGAACATTGTTTTACATTTATTATGCGTCATATGTGTTGTTCACTTCCGTCATTTGGTGGCCTTAGATATTTTCATAGTGAAAGGTTGATAAAGGCTTAATGATGCCTTTAAAAACTGGATATAACAACATGCCGCAGCAGACATCGCTACTCCAAAGTTTGCAACAAAGATGTCGATCAACATCAAAATGATCTCTTCGGTGATTTTCCTTTTTTTAAAATATCATAATTCAACAGACATTGTTGTTAACTAGGAAAAATTATTCTTATATCCATCAGATATCGCTAGGATATTGTCTAATATAGAAATCCATTTTTTTCTTAGTTGATACGGTATCTCATTAACATAAATTAGATGTTCTAGCAATATTTCATGTATATAAGAATACTTTTTACTAGGAATTAACTATTTCTACTGATTTATGATATCTCGAGTACAGCAATATCCAAAAAATTTTGCTCCGATGCTGATCACTATCTCCACTGAAAACTCTGTAAGACAGCGATTTCTGTTAGGATTAGGTAAGATATGCCGTTTTAGGAGATGTTTGTCAAGTGCTGGTATGTATTTTTTTTTCTTTGTTTCTTCCTGCACATTCATGAGTTATTGCATATAGTTGTCTTTGTTTTGATTTCGTTCAACTATATTAATATATTCGTACTTTTCTTTACATTACGAGAATTCAGTTTGATCATATGAACTAGATTTTATTGCTTCGAAATCATGCTTTTTTTCGAGTATGTCCACTGTTGAGATTGCTATATAATAATCATTTAGACAATTGTTATAAGAATAATTGACAGTTATTGACAACGTTATCTAAAATGTTATCAAAAGAGTCATCTCGAATATTTATCAGTATTTTCAGAAGACTAATCAAGAGAGTTTTTAATCTCTGTCAAAAAGTTTAATTATATTCTATGTGTATGCTTTTGACACTACGATTAAAATTTATGTCTAGCATTAGTGATTGTTTTCAACGTCAATTGTATTTACTTTAAAAAATCTCTCTACACAGATGCTTCGATTCACATGAGCTATCTCGTAACTGCTAACATAATTATATTGCGAATTGTGCAAACAATATTTCAGTGAGATCTCAAGCGAACTAACAAACTGATCTTTAAAAGGATGAGTTTTTAGCGAATACCTTTGTTTATTACTATTGACAAAGTCAAAAATTCTTTCTCTTTTTTTATTTTGAACTATTTTCTAAATAGATGATGACTCAGAGGCACAAAGATTCGCTTTTTTTCTTTTTAAAAGAGAGGTCGAAATGTCTCTTCATACTGTGTTCTGTAGAGAGAGTTCACTAGACAAATATCGATGGATTCTTCAATATAAATCCAGAGATTAATCAAAATAAACTTTAAATGAGTCATTAAGACAAACATCAACAGATTAGTAGAAAGAAGGTCAAGAATAGAAGAAAATTTTCAACATACTTATCAAATATGTTCTCAAGAGAAATATAAAGTATGTCATTATTGTCATATCGAATTATAAAACATGACTTAGTCGATTACCTTCTTAAGACTAGCATATTTTCGAAAAAATATCAAACTGGATGGTATATTTTCTTGGACTCTAATTATCAAATAGGTATTTTGCCATAAAATGAAATATTTTCCAGTTCTATACAAAATATTTTTCTTCAAACCAATTCTATAGAACAATTTGTCACCGAAAAAGAAAATGATCCCTGCGACCGAATACACCATTATCGAAAAATCTGCTCGAATGAGTTATCGAGAGAAATACATACACTACTCCCTTTACTGATCTAGAAAAGTTTAGTTTTTTTGTGTTCGAAAATACATTTAGCGCCCTCTCTCTTTGTTTCATTAAAAAAAAACAACACTTTCTGAAACTATTTAATGCAGTAATTTATTTATACTGAATAGATTATTCATCATCAAGATGTACTGTGTAAATCAATAAATTTTTTTCTTATTATAGTACGACAGCAATAAATGATAGTCAAATGATCAAATTCAAAAAACATTGACAAAATGCTATTTTATATTGTTTTATAGTTTTCTTCAAAGAGAATTTCGAACAAAGGCATTTGTCTCATGTCTTTCAATTTTACCTGAAGAGGTTAAGCTGCACAGTTGAAACTTTTATTTTTTCCAATACCTCAAACCATTTGGCGGTACTCTTCAGTCTTTTTTTTTTGTCAAAAATATTTCTCTATTCAATTTTAGTTGATTAAAAAATAACTCATTCTCATTTGAAAAGTCCACATATTTTTCATAATTCTATTTTCAGTACAAATTTTTCGAAGTCATTGATTGAAAAACGAAGTTATAGGACAGTTTGAGTTTTGCTGACGGAAAGATTGACACTTCACACCAACTTCTAAAGATAGAATCTGCATTGTCTATTTTATCTAACATTCTGAAGGCATTATTTATTTATTTTTCAATAGTCTATTCCAATTTTAACTGAAAAATATATTGAGAAATCTATCTCATTTTACGTGCCATCAATTATATTAGTTATTCATGTGTTCGCTTAGTATCGATTGCTACATCATGCGATATTGTATTATGTTAAAATACTGCTTAAATCTAATGTTGTTTTTTCTTTTCAGATCAGTATAATATGAATTATAATGCAATGAATATTCTTCGGATATGGAGACTGCTGTTGCTGCTGCAACTTACGGTAACTCTATAGATCTTATTTGTTGATTACAATTTCTTGTACATGAAGCAGTTAGAATGATGAGATGCTGAAGAATCTAGTGTTTTCTGATACTCTATTGTATAGTACTATAAAATCAATTCAATGATGTATTTTACTGGAGATGATTGCGAATTTCCGACTCAATCTATTACGAAATTTACAAGCGTATGTGACACATTAATCCCTTTCCAAAATCATAGCTATGGAGTCGACATTTGCCTCCATTGAAATGTACAGACTACATTATTTTGAAGTATAAAAATGATGAGTTAGTGCGGCTGTCTCAACACTTTGATGCTGAGAATATTTTTTAGCCTGTAGATGTTTGTTTTTGACGAATGGTCAAGTTCAAAATTACTTTAAGAAAGAATTGATATATTCGAACAGTTTAGTTAGAGATTCGTGAAATTTGTTCGGTTGAGAAGTATTTCTCTTATGTTTCTTGCCGATTTCAAATCTATCTGATGTCTTTTACTAAAATCTATTTGAAGATCCTTAGAACCAAACAAGAAACTATCAAAAACAACAATAAAAAAAATTAACTAACGAAGAAAGGCAACAGATTGATCAATCGTTTTTGAGTCGAGAGTATGTGTGCCATGTAGTCTCTAATGAGCTATGCATACTGAAACATAATATAACAAAAGCCAAGCTAATCGCAGGTGATCATGATCAAAGATTTCGCCCTCAAACTTGAAAATATATTTTGATAAAACACCAATGTTTTTTTTAAAAAGTTGTACTGTTTCAAATGAGACTTGTACAAAGCTATTCAACGAAAAACAAAAATATTCCCTTGATTGTAAATACGTAGAATAGAAAAGATTTAGATTTATTTCTTATAGACATCGGAAATTATCGGAGGTTCACATAGTCAATTCACTAATGATCAAGAAAGTTACAATCCTACTTTTGAGAAGAAATTGATCGAAGAAAATCGTTATGATGGCTATTGGATTGAAGCATTTCAAATAAACAAGCAAAATCCAATAGGATTAGTAGGATTTGGACTTAATAGCGAAGAGATACATTTTTATTCGAATCCATCCACAACTATACAACCGGAAAAGGCTACTCTTATTCAAAAGTTAAATGGTCCTGTAGGTATGGATCAGGCTGATATAACAGGCAATGGTGTTAATGATATTATTATCTGCTTTCAATATGGTAATACAATGTTAGATAGCGATCCTGAAGGAGGAAAGATTGTATGGTTGGAAAATCCTGGACAAGATATTGATAAAAATCTATGGAAAATGCATTATGTTGGAAGATCTACAGCTATGCATAGAATTAAAGTTGGTCATTTTACACAAACTAAACGTTGGGAAATTTTAGGTTTGCCTATTGCTAGTAAACCATATGATTTACTCTCAGCAGTACCTGTATTATTATTTCGACAACCTGATGATATATTCAATGCTACAGAATGGCCTTTTGAAATAATAAATCAAGAATTTTTTCATTTAATTCATGATGCAAAACGTTTTAATAATAATCAATTGGATAATCTTCTTGTTGCATCACGTGAAGGTATTAATTGGCTTTATTTTAATTCAAGCTTGAAGCAATGGACAATTGAACATATTGGAGATGGTGAACAAGAACAAAAACAACAGACAACTTATTATGGTAGTGCTGGTATCGATATTGGACGAGTTGGAAATGATTCTTTTGCTTATATGGCTGCTATAGAACCTTTTCATGGAAATGTAATTTCAGTCTACATAAAAAATATGAATAATTCGTTGAAAACAATTCAATGGAAAAGATATATATTAGATATTTATGGATATCCTAATCAATATGGCGAAGGTCCAGCTCATTATGTCGTTTGTGCTGATTTTGATAATGATGGAGACGATGAATTTTTAGTTGCACTTCGTGGACCATCGCCAAATCAAGGTGTCTATTTTTATAAACCAATGGATCTTTCTCGTGGTTTATTTATGAAATGGAAAGTTAGCGATGATTCAGCTGCGAGAATTGCTGTTGCTGATTTCGACAATGATAATCTTCTTGATTTTGCAACTATTAGTTACAGTGTTTTAGGTTATTACACAGTAGAAAATCCTTCTATTCACATGTTTTATAATCGATTTGTCCAGAAAAAATTACAAGTTAAAAAAGAAATACAAGTAATAAAGCAAAATAATGATCTTTTATTTCAAGTTTCAAGACCAAATAAAGCATTACAATATCAAGCAATACCATTTCTTACAATAGATGGAATAACTTTATCATTAGAAATTCTTCCACCTTATAGTTCACGTCATGTGGATAATAATACATTTGTTAAAGTTCTTTCTGGAATAATAACATGGACTAATTCTTTGATAGAATCACATAAACTCGTCAATCATTCGCGTACAATTCTCTTTGAACCAAGAACTGTTGCACCTCTTGACATTCATAGTGATGATGATAGAATAACAACTGGAAGTGAAGGTGCTCTTTTGATCGTATTCAAAACACTTAATGATAGTAGTAATAATCATCAAATCGATGATATTCAAAAAGTTATTATTGAAAACTCATTACCGGACTACTATCCTCAAGAAACTCGTCAACTTAATTTTCAATTTGTTAGATATGATCAATATGATTCGAGCGAACAGTTTAAAGATCTTGAATTTTATAATATGAAAGGTTTTGAGATAAAATTTGCTGATAATAATGACTATCTTTGCTATATACAACTGTGGGCTGCTGGACAAGGTGTTAATGCTGGTGTACACAATCATGCAAAAGATTTCTTCTGTGAAACTCATGTTTGTCTTATTAATGGAAGTGGAAAAGGTGGCATGCATTATCTCAATAGTTCAAAACAAGATTATGATCCACTTACTACACCAGATTCAGCATTCGAAAAATTAACATTACCAGCTTTTTATGAACATGGTCCTCTATGGGATATTGATGCACAAAATAAACCAGTTTTGCGAAATGATAGTACTGTAGTTTATCCTTGGCATAAATGGCAAGCTGGTATCAATAGATCGTTAAATCAATCTTTTGATGTTTGGATAGTTTTTGAATTCAATTGTCAACTATTAACATTGTCTTCCTAAATGAATCAAAATACGTATTTAACCTAGATCTATTAAAAATACATTGATGATGATTTTTATCGCTCATAATCAGTATTTGATTTGTTTGGCTTTTTTGTTCTCATTTTTCAAATAAAATGTCTTTTGTTTACAGTTGAAAAACAAAGAAAAAGAAGTATTTCAGTGCGTTGAAATTCTGTATCTACTAAACAGTCTCATTATGATGTTGGCTATTTCAGTTGGTTCGTATCCTTGAATAATCATATTTGCTAGTATTCGTTTAGTTAGCATGGGTACCGATAGAACGTTATAAAGCTGAATCGACAATCTCATTGAAAATCTGTGTTTAATATGAATAATAAAATTTAACAAAATATTTCATTATCATATTTTTCTACAAGAATTAAATAAGAACCATCAGTACAAAAACAAATTGAGCTATGCAAGAATGTTTCTTACTGTACCACAATTAATATTAAGATAAATTCATGGAAAAATACCACATTTTTGATAACATTAAGAATTCTTATACTGATATGCTATTTCCACTAAAAAATAAATGTCTATGAAGTTTTTTGAATACAAAATATGATGAACATCTTACAGATGATTGGCTCGTATGAGCTCAGTTGATTTCTCGCCGATTCGAAAATAAAATATGGTTCAATGATTGAATTCTGCGTTTTGAAGCTATTGTTCATTTCAAAATATAATGTGCTCCGCTGTTTTTTGAATAACTCGAGAACGCAAGCAGCTAGAGACCTGTAGTTTTCACCAATCGAAAGAGGAGACCGGGAGACGTCTTTTTCTTCAATAATGTATAAGAGGAAATCCTTTTAAAACTAATTATTTTCGAAAAATATGTAAAGGAAGGTATGAAAATGACCTGCCATCTAGATGAAATTTTGAATTTGCTATTTGATTTAGATAGAGGGACGTCAAATCTATAGTTCAAGATACAATGGAAAGTGGTTCTCTTATTACATTCTAACGTTGAGCAAATTGAATCATGTATTTACATGCGTAAATAATAGGGATTTTTGCTAATTTTTTACTAAGTTTTCTCACTTTTTATCATAATAGCCTGACATTTCAATGGAAATGTAATGAAAAGTAAGAAAGTACATTATAGCTTGAACTATATATTTCAAGTCCCTCTATCTAAATTAAAGATCAAAATCAAAATCTCATCTAGATGGCAGGTCATTTTCATATCTTCTTTTACATATTTTTCGAAAATAATTAGTTTTAAAAGGATTTCCTCTTATACATTATTGAAGAAAACGACCTCCCCCAGTCCTACGCAGTTCAAGGGATATCTTTAGATAGGAGTAACTAGCAGGAAAGTTAGTTATACAGAAGAACTACTTCATGCCGTACAAGTGTATGATAGAGTCATGATGATAAAATGCACACAATCGATGAGAATCTTCGATAAAATTCAAAGCTAGTGCTTGGTTACTTCAATCATTCGACAAATCATTTGATATGTGAGCAAAGCATGCCGTTCAAGTCATTGAATACTATCAGATTTTCAAAATAACTCTTGATGATCAAATTTATCGACCTCGGATTTTTGTCCTTCGATAGAGCCATTTGGAAAACGTGTCTAATTACATACGAATCATCATTTTCATAGCAATTTAAATTCAAACTACGCGTTCAGAAATATTCTATTTTCTTCGTCATAGTTTGATGATGCGCACTCTGCAGACACATTGATGAATATATTTTGACCTAAAATCAGTTCAACTAATCCCTTATCAAGACTGATTTTTTCTAATATTTCTAAAGTGTCCATGAGCAAACAAGACAACCAATGCCATAGTCAAATTCTGCTATGCTTGAATGAGTTTTCTTTCTTCTTTTATTTTTTATGAAAAATAACAACATAAGATGAATGATTGACTAGAAAACAAAAAACAATAATAAATGGCTTGAATGATATACCTGGAAAATGTTCATATTCACACCTGAAAGAAAAAGAAGATAAAACATCTCGAATGATTGACAAATGAAACAACAAGGGAACAGAACATTTCGTTTAAGATTTTTACATCCAATAAGCTTACAATGAATCTACTTTTCTGTTTATTCTTAATAGAAAAATTGTGCAATTCTCAAAGCTAGCCTTAAATTATAGTGCCAAGTTCGAATAGAGAACGACAAATGGTATTGACGTCTTATATAACTTGAACGTTTTTGTTTTACTTGAAACGAGAAAACTTCTTGAGTCAATATTTATTTCATCAGACTGTCTAATATTCTATAGATTATTTTTTTATATATTGTTATCTCGTAAGGAAAAAAAGATTATTGTCATTTATCCACTATAAACATAAGCGTTGTATACGAGAATATCAATAGGATCATGCACTATTCTTGTGTCTTTATATGATTCACATTCTTTTTAAAGAATTTTTCTTAAGAAAACATTCTAATTTTTATTTTTCGGAATTTGTCTAAAACAAGATAAATCCCTTAGTACTTTGAACTGTAACGAAAAAAATATTATTTCTCACGTCCTGTTTAGAAAATCATTACTATATCTTTTACGAAAAGTATGTCTATTGCCGGTAAAAAAAAATATAGACAGCATGTTGAATGTCAAATGATAGTCTTAGCGATTATTTCTTCTTGCTATCTTAGTTTTTTTCCAATAAGACTTGTACTCTTTCTGAACAAATTGAGAATATAATAGACATGGAATCGGAATATTCATCTTTAGAAAGAGAATATCGGTAAGTGTTGGTATATTTAAAAATTGGTAGTCTGAAAGTGAATCAAATAGTCGTTTCTATTCTACAGGATGAAGAAAGAAACGTTTTTTATGTGATATTTCACTTCAAAAAATCTTACTGGAATAGTCAGATAAATAAATACTCGTAAAATCAAAAGAGACGAACTATTTAAGTAAATTCATTATCTTCGCAGTTCTAGTAATATTCAACGAGAATGCACTAAGAGTGATTGATAGTCGCTTTTTGAAGAATTTATTGACAGGTAATTGTCTTTTGTGCAATAATTAACAGATTTCTATTCAGCATTCGGAACTTTGCTATCAAAGTAAGTTCTACTACTCCATCTGCAAATTTTCTATAAAAAGAATATGTTCTCAAGATGCTCATGATCATCTCTGCTAGGAAAAAGAAAATATATCAAGCCTATTCTTCATCTTCTGAACTTTTTCTTCGAAGATACATTTTCTTTGCATACATACCATCGGTTTTTTTTATTATGCGTTTTTTGGTTTGTTCAAGTAACCATTTGTAAATCTCTGGATTATTGTATGTTTCCGTCCATGAATCATGTTTCAAATTTGGATAAACTGTTTATTTGCAAAGTGGACTATTCAATGTTTTCATTAATAATAACGATTCTTCAACTGGTATAACGTCATCTAATTTTCCATGAAAATTCCATATAGGAAGATTTTTCAAAACTGAAACACGTTGACGATCACCACCACCACATATAGGAATTATAGCAGCGAAACGGCTAGGTTGAGCCATTGTGAGAGACCACGTACCATAAACGCCTGCGAAAAATCCAAACAATAAGTGAAATGAGAAAGACAAACGGAAAATAGAGAAGAATAAAAATGAACAGAGAGATAAAAGATTTAAAAAAACTATAAAAATCAAAATAACTAGTGTACTTCATAGAGAAAGAATTCGAATAATTGAGTAATACCGATAATTAGAGAATTCTAATTTTCATTCTGAGAAAAAAAGGAGTCTGACAATGGAGGGGCGTGTACTGTAAGTTAAATTGATTGACCATGTTCGGGTCAAATTAACACTCTCACTGAGAAACTAACAAATTTAAAATATGGGCTGCTGTTGACTTGCCTGGACAGAGATATTCAGTTTTTAAGTTATGCATTATTTGGATATAGAAACATGATAATATATGAAATAATCAAATTAACTTTTTAGTATAGTAATTAGATTTTTTAGGCAGTGAGCTTTCAAAATCTTGGTAAAACTTATTAACAATATTCAGACTTCTATAGATAAGACTTCGTCTAAAGCTTAATAGTACAGAATTAGCAAAGAAAAAGTAGTGTGTTGAAAGTTTCCATACGTAAGATATTAAAAAATTAGGTGCATTAACGCATCATTTCATAATTTATTGTGTATCCCTTTATGATTGGTGTTCGTAAGTCTCCATCAAGTGTGCATTCAAAGTAATATTTTCACTTATTTTCTATCACGATTAATACTAAGAAAGATTAATTTCGTCGAATCAAGATATGAATCTAGTAAAAATCGCAAAACATCTTCTCTATTTAACACAATCAGAATTTGGCTTTGAAGATTCAACACCAAATGATAATGGAATTTTTGCATCACAACAATTATTCAAAATTTTAAAATCATTTAAAGATAGTTATTTTAATGAACTGTATACTTATCAAAGTCTCGAGTTCGACGATGAATATAATGAAACGACGGATGAAAAGGACACCACTGATGAAGAAGAATCAGCTGATGAAGAAGAGAATATTGATGATTATGATGAAAATCAGTACTCAAATATTTGCAATAATTTTACGTTAGAAGAGATGGAAAAAATAGTGGAATGGGTTGACGAACATCCAAATTGTAAAGGACGGGGAACGTTTTCCTGGGATTTTGGCCCACTGTGAATATAAAGGTTGTTCCGAGTGAAACTTTCAGCAAATACTCAGCTATATATCAGTAGCCACCACACAAAATTTCAACTTGATCCGTTGAACTTTTCCTTTACTTTCACCACACCCTAAATGTACATATAAATACCCTATAGGGGTTACCTTGTGGATCCTCGTTCTCGACTATACGATTCAGAACTGAAATGATTTTTCTAGGATCACTAGGAATAAGTGAGGGCTATAATATTGCAAGGACATGAGGTTCAGAAAAAATCTGTCTTCGTATCCATTTGAAGTACACAGTGCCAAAAATCCTTGAAAAATCCCTGTAGAAGTAACCTTGTTGACCTTCGTTCTCCACTATACAATTCAGAACCGGAGCCATTTTTTCAGGATCACTAGGAATAAGTGAGAGCTACAATATTGCAAGGGCATGAGGTCCAGAAAAAAACCTCTCTTCGTATCCATTTGAAGTGCACAGTGCCAAATATGCATGAAAAATCCCTGTAGAAGTGACCTTGTTGACCTTCGTTCTCCACTATACAATTCAGAACCGGAACCATTTTTTCAGGATCAATATCAATTATCAAAAGCTTCAAAACTATCAAGACAAGGCCTTGCAAAAAATCTGTCTTCTAAATAATGCCTAGGACATACCATCCCCAAGGGGATCATATGGATCTCATAGTGAATCTTGTGTCTTTTCGTTCCCCGCTATTTGCTTTAGAATCAAAGCCATTTTCTTCAGCATCAATATCAATCATCAAACGCTTTAAAACTACCAAGGCAAGTGAACATAAAAATGTTGTCGTTTGATTGATTATGTGGGACATATTGCTCAAAGTACATAAATTGATATATGATAATTAATTGTTAAGACCTCTGATCTGTATTCTTTTGTCGAAACTCGTTGAATTAGGAAGCCTTGTCTATCGAACAAGTATGATAGGAGAAGTATATTTATACTATCGTAGTTCGAAGAAAGTTGGGCTTCGTCGAGTATCATATCATATATTTTTAAATAACTTTTGGATTTCAATACTAGCTGATGGTGTATTTTGATTATATAGCTGCGAAATAGTACATGTTAGGAAGTGAAGAACACTTTAAATATTTTGACCTGGTAACTGCATTGTAATATAATGCATGCATTATTGATATCTAATAAAACATGAAATCATGAAACAAAATGCTATCATGACTTTCTTTGTTGAAAATGATTGTCATGAGAAATGTGAACAGTTTTATTCTTTTAGACCTTATCTTCATTAAGCAAGTGAGTATCGATAGTCTTCATCTTCATCGGTTGATTCAACAAAATCATCAATCCGATCGCTATCATCCAGTATGTTCGAATAAGACCCAGATGGTTGATTGATTGTAGGTCCATTGTAATATTGTTGATATGACAGAAACCAGATGGCAGCTGCTCGATGTGAACAAACTCCTACCTCTCTATCGCCACCTGGACAGTCGCAGCAACTATTCAGAATATCTTGTGTAGAAAATGAAATGTAAGTATAATAGGTTTTTGTGTTGCTACAACGAGATCAATCAAACAACAACGTTTTTATGTTCACTTGCCTTGGTCGTTTTAAAGCGTTTGATGATTGATATTGATGCTGAAAAAAATGGCTTTGGTTCTAAAGCAAATAGCGAAGAACGAAAAGACACAAGATTCACTATGAAACCCGTATGATCCAATTGGAGGTTGTATGTCCTAGGCATTACTTAGAAGACAAGTTTTTTGCAAGGCCTTGTCTTGATAGTTTTGAAGCTCTTGATAGCTGATATTGATCCTGAAAAAATGGCTCCGATTCTGAATCAAATAGTAGAGAATGAAGGGACACAAGATTTACTATGAGACTTATATGATCCCATTAGGGATGGTATGTCCTAGGCATTATTTAGAAGACAGATTTTTTGCAAGGCCTTGTCTTGGTAGTTTTGAAGCTTTTGATAATTGATATTGATCCTGAAAAAATGACTCCAGTTCTGAATTGTATAGTGGAGAACGAAGGTCAACAAGGTCACTTCTACAGGGATTTTTCATGGATAGTTGGCACTGTGTATTTCAAATGGATACGAAGACAGAATTTTTCTGAACCTCATGTCCTTGCAATATTGTAGCCCTCACTTATTCCTAGTGATCCTGAAAAAATCGCTCCGGTTCTGGATTGCATAGTGGAGAACGAAGGTCAACAAGGTTGCTTCTACAGGGATTTTTCAAGGGTTTTTGGCATTGTGTATTTCAAATGGATACGAAGACAGATTTTTTCTGGACCTCATGTCCTTGCAATATTGTAGCCCTCACTTATTCCTAGTGATCCTGAAAAAATGGCTCCGGTTCTGAATTGTATAGTGGAGAACGAAGGTCAACAAGGTTACTTCTACAGGGATTTTTCAAGGATTTTTGGCGTTGTGTATTTCAAATGGATGCGAAGACAGATTTTTTCTGAACCTCATGTCCTTGCAGTATTGTAGCCCTCACTTATTCCTAGTGATCCTGAAAAAATGGCTCCGGTTCTGAATTGTATAGTGGAGAACGAAGGTCAACAAGGTTACTTCGACAGGGATTTTTCAAGGGTTTTTGGCATTGTGTATTTCAAATAGATACGAAGACAGTTTCTTTCTGGACCTCATGTCCTTGCAATATTGTAGCCCTCACTTATTCCTAGTGATCCTAGAAAAATCATTTCAGTTCTGAATCGTATAGTCGAGAACGAGGATCCACAAGGTAACCCCTATAGGGTATTTATATATACATTTAGGGTGTGGTGAAAGTAAAGGAAAAGTTTAACGGATCAAGTTGAAATTTTGTGTGGTGGCTACTGGTATATAGCTGAGTATTTGCTGAAAGTTTCACTCGGAACAACCTTTATATTCACAGTGGGCCAAAATCCCAGGAAAACGTTCCCCGTCCTTTGATACTTTTGTTAATTTTTTGTAAATTTATATTTAACTTTCAAAAATTCGATCACTGCGAACGAATATTGAAAGTAAATTGTTTTAAAAGATTTTTATAAAAATTTATTTTTTTACTAACCATGCTGCAATTTGTAGAGGTCGTTAGTTTTTTGACAATAAAAAATTTTTAATATGCAGATAGTTACTGCAATTTGTAGAGGACGCAAGTTTCTGATAATAGAAAGTTTTTGATATTTACTGCAGTTTGTAGAGAACATAAGGTTTTGATCGAAGAAGGTTTTTAAATTTAGTACTATTGCTGTAATTTGTAGAGAACGTTAGATTTTAGTTGAACTAAGATGTTCCTTTGGATCTAGCTCCGAAGAATTTCAATAGAAGTCAAAAACAGAAAGTACTAGCTGGTTTTTTTTGTTATTGATAAATTACCCTAGTGAAGGTACTCATCAAGAGAGTACTCAAAAAGTACTCACGCTAGAAAATGCCGCGAGAACTCATGAGTACTCAAGGCTTTTGAGTACTCACCAGTGGTACTCGTGCTAGAATTTGAATATCTGAGTACGACTATTGAGTACTCGCGCTAGAATCTGAGTACAACCATCGAGTACTTGCCTTAAAATAATGAGTGTTTCACGAGTACTCCTATATAGTTTTTGAGTACTCTAATCGTTTATGTAGAATACTCATAGGCCTATATTCTGTTCATTACCGTTGCACTACGTTCAGTTTATTTTTTATATAAAATTAATAACACAAAATACAATGCTACATATTGAAAATATGAGAGAATAATCAATACGAGAGTTACAAGTATTACATTATGCGCATTAGTTTTTAACACAAATACTATAGATAAAGAAGTATTTAACTTTCTTCTATAACGAACGACGAAGATTTCTTTGTCTCTATCTTATAAAGTAAGAGTATAGTAAACTGATTAAGTGGCAGTAAAATAAACTTAGAGAAAAATAAATGATAGATTATTCAGTGAAATTGAAATATGTGATTACAAATAAAGATTCAGCATTGATTGATACACAGCAAAAAAGATAAGTGTTTAAAAATCGTTTATATTTACAGTCATTTAACAATTTATAAAAAAGTAAAAGATAAATTATACGTCTGTAGTCATTGTCCTCATGTGTGTATAATTTAAAATCGCAATCGATTTGCAACAAAAGTCGTTAGTTCTTTTTTTCTATTATGATCCATCATCAATCTGAAAAGTTTTATGTTAATACAGAACTTTTTATCTAAATTTAGAAATTGAGACTAGAATGAATTTCGATTAATATGTTTAATTCAATATTAAATCTTACTCGCGAAGTAAACAGTTACAAATGAAAAGTCGCTTTCTTTTTTTCTTCAAGTCATCATCCAATGAAATCGTAGAAACCAATCATCAGAAAATAATAGAGGATAAAATATAGCATTCATTAAAACAATTCTGCTCTATTTTTCATTTAAAATTACATCGTTTTTCTTTATTGCATAATTTCAATTTATTTTTATGCATGCAAGTGCATAAGTATTTCACTAAATATTCTGCGAAAAACTTGTATGAGTACTACACTGAGTACTCGCGTCCTTTTCTGTGAGTTAATCTGCAAAGAAAAACTAGTATGAGTACTCGTATGAGTACACATACAGTATTCATACACATAAAATTCTTCAAGTACTCGTACGAGTAACTTGAGTACTCATGCTGACAAGTCGTACTCGCTTGATGAGTAGTTTCACTAGGGTAATACTCATAGCGCACGAGCAAGGGTCATCGATTTGAGCTAAACTAAGAACAACTTCAGTTAAAGACAAAGCAAGTTTTTAAGAAGACTGTATCATAACTTGTTGTGATAATTTGATATTTGTTCCAACTGTGGTGTGGGCGAATCGAACTGTATTCGTCAAGAGAAGACGCTCATTAACATCTGTATTTCTGAGCCATTTTGTTCAGAACATCATTTCTTGTATTTATAATTTTTGTGTATAAATACTTTTGCATCCCAATCAATTATATCCATTCAATGTTCGATTTCATTTTACTATCATAATTATGTGATCTGTTCAAAATCAAAAACAGCTGATGGCCTTCATAGTAACAATGATGTCTGACGAACTCTATTAATTACAGTCAATTAAGAATACGAAAAGCACTATTATATTTTAGCGCACTCTACAAATTACAGCTCATTAAGTTGAAATACTGAAACTCAACATCTAGTGAGCTCTATAAATTTCAGTAATTACAAAGAAAAGAAGCACTATTGTAGTTAAGCGCACTCTACAAATTGTAGATCGTTAAACTGAAATAATAAAACTCAATCTTTAGCGAACTCTATAAATTTCAACAAGTTTAAAAATGTAATTGAAATTTTAATTTGTTTTAAAAATGTATATCAGTAAATTTTTTTTGCAATTTGAAAACAGAAAATTTCAGACTTAAGATTATTTTAAATTTGAATAAATTAAATTTAAAAAACAGCTGAACTTGAATTTAACAGATTTTTTATTTCGATTTTATGTTCGCAAATGAGAGGACACGTTAGTGAACATGTTAAAAAAGCTGTATCAATTTCATCTCTTATTCCACAATATATCGCTGATAAAAATTATGACGATTTAGCTCCAGCAATTGAAATTTATGGAAAATTTTTGCCTGGTTCAATATCTGAGATTAGATCAGAATTTTTATTATGGAAAAAAAGATGGGTGCAAGTGGACAAAGAAAACAACTCCGATTCATTATCACCTTCCGTGAAACGTAAAGAACAAATGGCTTTACCAGATACAGCAATTGACGCTTATGTTCAATGTACTAAAGCATTTTATCCAAATATAAAAATTTTATTGAAAATATTTGCAACTTTATCAGTATTAACGGCAACTACAGAACGAACATTTTCTGTCCTAAACTTATTGAAAACTTATTCGCGCTCGACAACGTCAGAAACGCGACTTAACAGTCTAGCTATGATGCACATTCATCGAGATATAAATATAAATGTTGATTCTGTCATTGATGAATTTGCAAAATCTAATCATCGTTTAATTTTTTAAGTGTTCTTTTTGGACTTTTTTTTCAAATAAAAGTTGTTAGTTCTAAATTTATTGTACATAAACAATATCAAGAAAAGCAAGGAACAGAGCACAGTACTTGATTCGCTTCGGTAATAATTCACACTACCTCGGAATGCATCATCTTGAAACCGCCGCCCCCTTACTAAAATCCTGGATCCACCACTGCTTCTGCCCTTTGTGATGTGATCGATTGCTGTGACGATAAACTTCGTTTCAATGATCTTCGTTTACGTGATTGACATGAGTCACCCGTGCAAATACCAGTAGATACATCGACCAAAGCTTTGATTTGATACACATTTATATTAAAATGTTTAGGATCGAGGTTTCTCTATCGCAAAAAGAAAGTTGTAGTTATATGAAAGAAATTCAATATAATAATACGCGGATGGTTGATTACAGAACAAAAATATCAAATGCAGAGGAAACACAGATGTGTACCGATTGACTTGCTTACATCTTGTTCTGTTATGCGGAGAGTTGGTTTTATAGAGTAATAGAACTTCAAAGATTACTTATGCTCTTTAACAGTAAACGTTGATAGTATGTCTCTCATTAAAGTCTCAATTATGCAAAATTAAAATAAAATTTATTCTTCGTTTTTTTTGCATATGATTGAATATAGTTTGATCAATGGCATACCTGTAATCATTTTTAAGAGACAAAATTTCAGCTTTTTAATAGCCCAACTATATGCAAAAAAAACGAGTGAGTTTTGAAAAATGTCCCAATTATCAACTTCATTATTCTTTTTTAACAATTTAAAATCATTTTTCAGATTCTTCATATAAAAACGAAATCTGAAAAATTCATTTTGTACATGAGATTTCGAGGTAGCAGTGTTTATATTTTTGAAAAAGAACATTTCAGAAATTTCCATGGAAGGAAAATTTCATACAGTAGGTAGTACCTATAGAAACAGGCGAAAAGAAGCACTTTAGAAAATCACAAAAATTTTCGATATTTTTACTGACCGAGGCTTTCTCTGCATTCTGACGCTATCAATCTAGATAATATGAAAATTTCAATAATTTCTAGAATAATTTGCAACAGATTCCTACTCTATAATATTAGTTTTCGAAATTTTATTCAGATCTCTCTTCAGTTTCCTACTTTCGGTTTCTCGCTATTTTTGACAACTAGTATAGAGTTGATTCCTTCCTTTTTTTCAGTTGCTACGCATAATTTTGCATGGTGAATCCAAAAATAGTTAGATTTAGAATTTGTAGTGGAAGATAAAATTAATCATTTTTTGATTTTTAAGAAATAGATCCATTTTCAGAAAAATAACCAATACTAATAAAGTTTTCCCACAAATAACTCTAAAAATTTTAAGCAGACCCTGACATTCCACCCATTTATATACAAAAGTATAGAAAACTAAGCCTGATCACTAATCTCGCAGAATAGAATGCAATGATTTTGTATTGTGGCTTTTCACAACACTACAGTCGATGTGGCCGAATAATATGGACCTACTTCCTGACAAATTTTTCAAAACACTTCTAATTAAAAAATAAATGCGGAAACTTCGGATTTAAATCTGAGAGTTATGTGTACTTCAAAAAGTGAATGAGACAGATGAGTCGTTCTAGAACGTGTGGACATCAAAATTATACTGGGGAACCTACCCTCTAAACTGTTGATTTCTATTGAGTATTGCCAAACCAATAGGACTTGGGACCGAATACAGCTCAAATTTGAACTCTTCCCCTTGATTTACCCTAAGAAAGTCGTTTTTCCTATAACTTGATTTCTATTGGTCACTGCTCAACCAATAGTATTTCGATGGAAGTGGAATACAAATTCGAGTTCTCCATCTCAGAAAACCTCGAAGTATCATCACTGTGATCGGAAGATAGAGCTCTATTTGTGGATCAATTAGATCGTGGACAAAAATCTAACCTAGTTCTCTTTAATTATCTTTGTGATAGATGAGCCAACCTTCTTGTTTCTTTATGTTTTATATACCAATTTGCAGCTCGTGAAATTCTCTATCGAATGGTATATAATAGTTGGGGTTTTAGTTGACTATGATAGGAAAAGTCTTTTACGAAAGTGGGGATGGGTCGATCTTTCCATAGGGAAGGTGCAAGGAAAAATGAGTATTTTTGCAATAACTCAGGAAGGGCTCGGCCAATCCTTCTCATCTTCGAACTCGACCGAGATATTGTTAAGACTGAACTGTGTAGACAATTTCATCGCGATCGGACTCCCCTTTCGAAAGTTATCGGATAAACGGACGGACGGACGGCCGGACACACTGACCGATTTTAGTAGTGTACTCACTTTTTGAGTACACAAAAAAGACCTTGGAACAATTGAAAAAGTGAAATTTGCTAGAAAAAAATTTTGCATAACTCTCAGTCAGATTTTTACTCCAGATAAAAAGAGCTCTCAGCGCAATTCCTATGGGGATTAAAATATGAAACATGCTCGAACTGCTTTTATTATTCAACCAAACGAGGGGATGTTTGTACAGACGTAGAGAGCTCAGTTTAAATCTCTCCATATACTTCAACACTGATTAACAGCTGATTTCCACAAAATAACTGAAAAACCTTTGAAAACATGTAGTTTAAGGATAAACTGGTAATACTAAGGTTGTTCATGTTCTTCCAATGCGCTCTAATAACTTTTTCCTTTCGAAGAACCTTTCAAGATAGGTGATCTTCTAATACAGACTAGTCTTCTGTTCTCGAGGCAGAACGCCTAAGATGGATCGTTGTTCATTATACTCCAAAATTCCGAATAGGATATTTATCATTCTACGCACAGCGTGAGTAATGGTTGTTGAAAAGCCTGCTGCAAGATACATAATGGTTAACGACCATGTTGAAGTGTCGTCAATAAAGTTATGGGTGATGCCTAGAAAAAAGTCTATTTTGTTCTTATGAACTCGTTCTTTTTTTTGTTTTACCATATCTCCCGCAGTCGTCGCTGGGTGCGACTTGAAAGTCTCTGGAAACGATCATACAAATCGGTTTGATGCTTGAGCCGTTGAAAAAGTATAGATTAATCTATGAGAAATAGAGAATGAATTATTAGATCAAATGAACGTACAGAATTAAACATACATCGACCATCCATTTGTTCCTCACGAGAATATCAAACGAAACATAATTATTTTTTACGAGATCATGCCGACCGTCATCGAAACAATCTTTGTAAAACCTACTATTACTTTGGTCGTTAGGATGCCAACTCTGTATATGGGGATCTGTCAATGCCACACATTTGTACAAGTCACTGGATGATTGCGCTACAAGAGTAATACAGATCTATTGAACACAATGTGCTATTAATTAGTGGAAATGATTTTACCTGTAATTAACTGCGCCAAACCCATGCCAAAGAATAATATAAGAAGATTGATTTTCATAATGAATGTAGTATAGTAAATGCGAAAGAGAAAAAGTTTAATGCCTTTTATAGACATAAGAAAGGAAGTAAGCTCGTTGCTAGAGGGTATAATTTTGTTTTTATTTCTTTCAAAGTCTACAAATAGCCGCAATCATTGTGAAGCTAACAAAATACGAACTATACTACTTCAGAAATCATGCCACTACATTGATTCAATTCATCGATGTATATAGAATTAATTCTCGAGGAAACTAAACACTTCATTTGGTATTGATCGGCTAAAAATATCGGTAGATTTACACAATTTTACGTCGTTTCTTTTTTGTATCGTCAATCATAGAATCAAATTACAGTGAAACCGTTTGTTAATAATATTAACGTATCGATACAGAAGTGGGTGTGGGTGTGGTGGGGTGTGGGTGTGGGTGTGGGTGTGGGTGTGGGTGTGGGGTGGTGTGTGGGTGTGGGTGTGGGTGTGGGGTGTGGGTGGGGGTGTGGGTGGGTGTGGGGTGTGGGTGTCAATCACAAGAACAGTGACACCCACACCCACCCACACCGACATCCACACCCTTCCGCTTATAGCCTTATTTCACCTTTGACCTTTGACCCGGCACAGACAGACAGGCACACACGCTGAACATTATATATGTAGATATTTCATAGTAATTCTTTGTTTATTATCAGTTTTTCATAGAATGAAAATACATTTTCACGACTCATTCAATAAACTCCATTAATACCTCTATATTTTTCGTTTTCAACTTTCATTAGCTCCGATTACAGTATGATGATGCAAATGAAGAAAGTGAATTCACAAACGTATTTACACATAGAGAGTGTTCTGTGTCGATGCGTTAATATTATTAACACATGGGCTCACTGTAATTTGATTCTATGATTGACGATACAAAAAAGAAACGACGTAAAATTGTGTAAATCTACCGATATTTTTAGCCGATCAATACCAAATGAAGAGTGTACTTTCCACGAGAATTAATTCTATATACATCGATGAATTGAATCAATGTAGTGGCATGATTTCTGAAGAAGTATAATTCGTATTTTGTTAGCTTCACAATGATTGCGGCTATTTGTAGACTTTGAAAGAAATAATAACAAAATTATACCCTCTAGCAATGAGCTTACTTCCTTTCTTATGTCTATAAAAGGCATTAAACTTTTTCTCTTTCGCATTTACTATATTACATTCATTATGAAAATCAATCTTCTTATATTATTCTTTGGCATGGGCTTGGTGCAGTTGATTACGGGTAAAATCATTTCCACTAACTAATAGCACATTGTGTTCAATAGATCTGTATTACTCTTGTAGCGCAATCATCCAGCGACTTGTACAAATGTGTGGCAGTGACAAATACTCACATACAGACTTGGCATCTCTACGGTCAAAGTGATGCTCTTTACAAAACTTGTTTCGATGACGGTCGGTATGATCTCGTAAAAAATAATTATGTTTCGTTTGACATTCGCGTGATGAACAAACGGATGGTCGATGTATGTTTAATTCTGTACGTTCATTTGCTCTGATAATTCATTCTCTATTTCTCATAGATTAATCTATACTTTTTCAACGGCTCAAGCATCGAACCAATTTG